TTTTCTGAGGATATTCTCTGGGAGGTAAAACTGTGGAGAGATGATAAAGGGAACTATGTCTGGGGGTATGGAGTCCTCCCCCAAGGAAGTATTTAATCACTCCTCTTCAGATTTGGTTTTAGAGAATACTCATGTTTTAACCTAATCATTTACAGTGTAATAGTCTTCTATTTCTCCGCCCCTGGGATATAGAATGTTTCCGTGTTAACTGCGACTAGACTGACTTCCCCAGTCAGGTGAGAAAAGCACTGTGGGAGTTTGTTCTGAGAATGTTTCTGAGAAGGGATATTTCTCTGGAGTGGCTTCTCAGAGCAAATTTCTGTGCAGACTCAGTTCCTTAGAGCTCTGCTAATGACTGCAGTCTATGGCCCTAAAGGGAGTGGGGACTGTTCTCCCCTTGGAGACCTAAGCCAGACAATCAGATTCGGTTTTCCTCTGCACCTAAAGTGGATTAGAACTTTAAGGGCAGAATTTCATTGTGAGTACATTTGGGTGCGTTAGTAGCACATAAGAAGAAAGAAGCAAGATAGCCTGAGCAGAGCTTCAGCAGTCTGAGTGCACACTCCAGCCTCTCGCTTAGGGCTCGTTTCCTCCACCAGCCTGTGGCTCAGGTGCTTCTTTGGTCAGTGACCAGTGAAGTTGGAGATTTTTCTTGGTTGTTGGTATTTTCAGTCACCTTGTTCCTTTTTCAAAATTATAAACCATTTCAACCCTCAAGTTCTTATACAAAGTATAATCATATTGATAAATAGATAACATTGACATTATAGACATAGTGCAAATATTCAGGCATACATATTTCAGACCCCACCTCCATTAGGTTTCAACTTCTACCAGGTTACCTCCAGCACTTCCCATCCTCTGCTTTATATTTTCTGTGGTATTTTTTTTACCACCTAATATTGTATTTTATCTGTTGGTTTCTATCCCTACTAGAATGTAAGCTATTTAAACTCTATGAAGGCAGGGATTTTTACCATTTTATTCACTGCTTTTCCCTAGCACAATATTAGTTGTATAGTAGGTACTCAGTAAATATTTGTTGAATTAATACAAAAAATGTAGTAGAGAGTAGCACAAGGGGGCTTGTGTGCCCATCACACAGCTTACGAAATAAAACATATATATGCATACATATATACAAGATAAACATGGTTGAAGTCTCCATTCCATCTCCCCACTTGCCTTCCTCAGAATAATCACCATCTTGGTTTAAAACTATCTTTAGTTTATTCACTTTATTTCAGTAACTCCTACTCTATCTTCTTACCTCATTTTAAACAAATTAGAAAATACATATAAGCACAAAAGGGAAAAATAGCCAATAATCCTACCTGCCCACGTTGTTTGAGCGCATTCTTATTCGCTGCAGGACCTTAGGCGAGGTTCTGAGGTATAGAATCTTGATTTCTTCAGTTTCTCGTCTGTAAATGGGAGAAAATAATATGATGTACCTCATGGGATTATGGTAAGAAGTAAATGAAAGTCCACATAAAGAGCTTAGCAGGTGCCCAGCACATAGCAAGCACATAGCCTTTCAAATGATTTCATCATTCCTTTTTGAATATAGACATTATGTCCCATGTGGTCTGGGATGGGGATGGGAAGCACCCAGTCCTGGTTGAGGGGCTTCCTCACTAACCAGGGGGCTTATAGGCAACTGAGAGCACACGTTTTCACTTGCAGAAGACAACAGGGGGCTGCCGTGCTGACTGCTGTTTGCTCTCTCCAGGTGAAGAACATCATCTATCATGCAGTGAAAGATGCTGTTGGCACCCTCAAGGCTCATGAATCCAAACTGGCAAGGTCTTAGGCGGAGAAATTCCAAACTCCCCCGTGAAGCAGGACTTTCACTCACACAAACAGGGAACGGCAGGGTTCTCTGCTGGAGCAGAGGTGCTTCACTTGGAGCCAGTGTGGTCAGTATTACAAACTCTCCAGCCACTCTTTTCTACGCTGCCTCAACACTGAAGGTTGTTGACACAGGAAAGTCGCACTGTTCACACACAGTTTCAGACTCCAAGCTGAGGGTGCCACATGCCCATCCTGTGGTCTTTTGGGACTCTGAATTGCCTGAACATCGCTGGGCTTTCCTGAAGTCTTATGATCTGGGATTTGTGGAAACCAGGAATGTGGGCACACCTTTCTTTTTTTTTCTCTCGTGCCTAGTTAATTGGGAATGTTTGGAGGTATGGGGAATCACATAACTGTTACACGTAGGGGCTAATTGCTTAAACATGCCTGGTGGAAGCCTGACAGTGTCTCTGCACGCGACCTCTGACACAGCCCATCCCAGGAGACAGGGTGAAGCCGTTCCCCACAATCTCTCCCATGAACACTGGAGTCTTGCAGGACCCAGGGAGGACCCACTGCTTTTCCCAGGAGGCTCCAGGATTAGGAAACGTGTGTATTTAGTGAAAAATAGGTTTGTAGTGAAATAGTTACTATTTCATGAAAGTAGATATTTTTAGAATTTTTGAAATACCACAGTTTTTCCTGGATTATGAGGAAAGGCACATTACATTTAGTCTTCCTTTCGATAAAACACTTTGAAGAAATATGATTTTTAGAAATCAACTGCCCATTATAGCACAAAATCAGCCAAAGCAGAATTTAAAAGAATTGGCGTTTTAGGATTCTTTTTGTTTCTCCCCCTCCCATCTCAGTCCTATCTTGAGGGAACAGCCATCTGAGAACATTGTCCTGTCTGAGCTGTGGTATGTTTCACACATACAGACACTGGTGACTCCAGGAACCATTTCCATCTGTTACCAGCGTTCCCTTGGGACGGACTCCTCTTAACAGTTCCAAATTCGAGGGAAAGTGATTTTCCTACATGAGGCTTTTTGTTTTTTGTCCAGAAATATTTTCAGCAAAACGCAGTGGAGTTTTATTAAGAATTTATTTGAAAATAATGGAATTCATTGGCCCATGGGTACATTGGAAAATGTATCTTCTTTCTGGCTGTACTGTAGTGCCCTGAAGGCTTGTTTATATGTTCACAGTTTTTTTTTTTGTTTGTTTGTTTTGTTTGTTTGTTTTTTAAATAAAAGTCATTTACTGTAGAATACCTTTAATTTCACTTTCTGTATTTTAATTTTGTTGAAGGGCTGATTGGGATTTCCATGTTCTTATTAAAAATCTAACAAATCTATTTGGAGTGGACTAAATTCTTCTTGTGCCAGCCATTCTAAAACCAAGACCAGCCTGGCTGTTGTAGCTCAATGCTTGAGCATCAACCTATGAACCAGGAGGTCACCGTTTCATTCCCATTCAGGACACATGCTTGGGTTTGTGGGCTCAGTCCCCAGTAGGGGGAGTGCAGGTGGCAGCTGATCTGTGATTCTTTCATCATTGATGTTTCTATCTCTCCCTCTCCCTTGCTCTCTGAAATCAATAAAAAATACCAAAAAAAAATAATAAGCAAGGCCAGGTAGAGGGTGGGGTTGGAAGTGGAGGATGATTTGTTTTCAGATCTTCATTACATTACTACATCCAATTATTATCCTTTGCTTCTGAATTTGTTCCTGATTGGGAGAGGGAAGTGCCAGGTCATTGTGGTTTGAGGGCGTAGGGTGAAGGGAAGGGCGCCACATCAGTTAGAGGATGGGAGGAGGGGTAATTTATATTTAGAGGAATGGAGTGGGGAAGGTGGGGTCCTACCTTCCCGGGGAAGTTCGTGGGGGGGGGGTGCGGGGGGGTGAAGGCTCATGGGGACCACCTGATAAGGTTCTGGGCAATCAGTGGGAAAGGGGGGGGGGGGTGTCTTCAAAGCAGAAAGCCGGGCTGCCCACATAGGAAACGTGGTTCTAGATCCATTTCAGAGTTGGCGGGAGAAGACCCAAAAGGGATTTGTTTTTAATCAAGCAGCAATGAAAATGGCTTGAAGAGTTAGGACAGACTAGTCTCTAATTAGAAAAGGCCTTTTTAAGAGGAAGTTGTAAAGAATAGCAAGAGGGGTCATTAGAGGCCACTTCTCAAGCCTGTTGGAAAACGACTTCCAACGTGTTTAAGCCTGGAAATACAATTATCAGGGTGGAAATAGATGGCTGTGTGGTTCAAAGATAACGAGTTTGAATAGGACCATAACAAATACAGAGCTCTGAGCATATCCTTTGAGCCTGGACAGGCACGGGTTGATGCTCTGATCACCCTGATTTCACCTCCACATCAAGGGTAGATGAATGCAGCTCTGAAATGGGCCGGGAAAGGAAAGCAGCGGGGAGAAGGGGAGTTGTGCAGGTTGGTGCTTTGTTGCTTTGGTGAAAGTCAGAAGGCGGGCTAGGGCTAGCCTACATTCTGGATATAAAAGTCCAGAATTAGGGCATACACAGCTGCCAGTGCTTGCTGATGGAAGTGAAACTGGATGGAGCTTCCGGATCCACCTCCTACCTAGGACCCCAGGCCTTCCAGGAAGGTCTGACTCCCCTCCCCCAGAGTATTCACCTTGAGAGCACAGGGCTCCCCTGCAAAGCTTAGGAACCGACAGTGCTAAAAAAAAAGCAGGTCAGATTGGGGGGTGGACAGGTGCAGCTATACCTTAGACTTCAGGAGTTCTTGGGTAGATGTCTTTACAGGGCTTGGGATGGGGGAGGGGGGGGGGTTGCAAGTCATCAGTTGGGAGAAGTAGCCTGGGTTCGTATCTCAAGCGCATGACTTAGTGGTTTTGTGACACTTGGCAAATTATTGAACCTCCATAAGCTTCCCATTTCTTTATCTTTGAAATAAGGATAATTATAACCTCTTCCTCAGAGGATGGGCGTGAGGATTCACTGAAATAATGCATGCGAAGCTCTTAGCACAGGGCCCGGCACACAACAAGCACTCAAAGCCATGGCTGTTACTCCTCGTGGGATGTTTGAGCCCGAGGCACGATGTGGGCAGGGCAGGGGGCGGGCTGGGCTCTCAGGAGGGACCCACCGCGAAGGCCTCGGAGGACCTCCACCTGGGCTTGGCACCCAAGAAGGCGAGAGCAGAGGGGAAGGCCAGGCTCAGGTCAAAGGCGCATGCCCGGGACAGCAGGTGCGGGGGGCGCGCGGCCTCCCCTTTAAGAACCGCCACCGCCCACGGCCCGCCGCTGCGGCAGGGACCTCCCCTTTAACGCAGGGGCTGGTTGCTCCGCGGCCGCCGCGGCTGCTGCTGCTGCTGCTGCTACTGCGGCTCCTGCTGTCACAGTTCGACCGCGGCAGCTGCATCCTCGGCCCTGGCGGGGTCCGCGCCCCGCGCCCGCCATGGTGTCCTGGATCATCTCTCGCCTGGTGGTGTGAGTGCCGCGGCGGGCGGAGGGGCCGGGCCTGGGTGGGGGCTGCGGGTATTGGAGCCGGGATGGACCGCTGGGGCTTCCCACCGCACAGGCACCTAAAGACACATCGCCCCCATTTGCGGTCCCCAGAGACATCGAGGTGGGACCCAGGACGGGGGGCGGGGGGATATTGAGGAGCCTGGCAGGCCTGGCTGCTACCCCTTTTATCTTGAATTTCCCTGCTCCTTCGCCCGCCCTCATCTAGGGCTGGGCAGCATGGATTGATTTATGGGGGAGGCGGGCATGGCCCTTCCCCCACCTGACAGATATGTCTGCAGGAGCTGCTCGGTCTGGGCCCTCATCTCCCTGGGGGGAGCTAATGGAAGATGGGGAGCAGGGCAGGGCCTCGTCATTCCCTACTTTAGGGCCATGGCAGCGGCCTTGGCCTCCCCAAAGGGCTGGGTCCCTCCTCCCTCTTCCACTGACTGTCAGGGGTGGGGGAGGAGGGCACATTCTCTGAAGGCCCCCCAGGGGTCCCATCTGGATGTGGGGAAGCAGAGACGCTTGGGGACAAAGTGTGGGAGGTGACCCAGAGAGGATGTATGTGCTCAGCCTGGGACTGAGAAAGCCAGGAGCCGGGCGTTGGGTGGCCTTCATTCCACATCCCGCTCCAGGAGGAACGTGTTCCCACAACCCCAGGTTTTGTCCTTGGGGATCCCACGCCCAGCCAGCCCTCCAGGCCAGGTTGGAAGTCCCCCGGTCTGTAAGGCGGGTCCATGTGGGAACAGGCAGTGCCCCTGCATTGTGGAAGGGTTGGGCCTGCAAGGGCTCCACAGGAGCCTCAGCCAGCCCTGCCCTATCTCAGGACCCTGGCCCTCAGCTTCCACGGGACTGACACCCCAGAATCCCCTCCCTGTGCCTTCTTCCCATTCAGCGCTGCCATATGTTTGTGTCCTGGCTTCCTCTAGACCAGAATCCCCTTCCTTCCTCTTTCCCGTCCCACCCAGAGGGAATCCAGGGGCCTCGTTTCATGTGGCCGTCGGAGTGGCTGCTGCTCTCTTGTCGGGATGAGCTCCCTGAGGGGCAGAGCCCTCTGCTCCCCTCCCCTGAGGCCTGTGTGTGGTCTCTAGTGGGATCACCACCAGGTCCACTCCAGCGAGGGCCCGGGTCCTCCCCTGAGACTGGTCCCAGGAGGGTTTGCATGGGGCAATAAACCTCCTTGCCCCTCACAGGGCTTCCTGCCCCTATGCCCTCTGCTCCCAGGGCCACAGTGGTGCCACTGACTGCCAGGTAGAGTGAGTGCCCTGTTAGAGTATCGGGAACCCTTGCCGACCTGGCCATGCCCGGTATGGCTGTGAGACAGGGCAGATGGGCACGAATGAACATGGTGTTTGGAGAAGGAAGACACCCTTATGGCGGTAACTAGACACCCACTCCCACACAGGTTTGTGCATAACAAAGGATCATGGCTGAAGAGACCACATGGGACCCTCTGGCCTCTGGGTCTTTCTGTATCTCAGGGGCTGGAGAGAAACTGAATGATAGAGCGGGGAAGGGACAGCACCTTAGTTGGCTAGGACTTCCATGCTTGTGTGTGACCTGGCCTTGAGTTCATCAGTGCAGCTCCGGTTACCTACCCAGGGGCTGATGCAGAGCTGGGAGGGAGAGGCCCTGCCCTTGGCCGAGGGCCCAGTAACCATGCCTGCCTCCCTAGGCTTGTCTTTGGCACACTGTACCCCGCCTATTCTTCCTACAAAGCCGTGAAGACTAAAAACGTGAAGGAATATGTGAGTGTATGACCCTTCCGCTCCCACCCAACCCCCATGGCAGACACAGGGGAGGGCAGTGGGTCATCGTATAAAGGGGGGGACTGTCCCAATGCTATTGGCACTAATGAGACCCTGGTTCAAAGGCGATTCCTGTGTGTTCCTCTCCCCCGGCCCAGGTGTGACCCTCAGGCAAAGCTGGGGTCCTGCGTGTTCCCTTCCCCACAGAACGCCCAGTGTCGTTGGCAGGCAGAGCCCCCCCCGCCCACCTCCCCGGCCCCAGCCAACGCGGCCCTCTGTCCCCTCAGGTGAAATGGATGATGTACTGGATCGTCTTTGCCTTCTTCACCACGGCCGAGACGCTCACGGACATCGTGCTCTCCTGGTGAGGTCCAGCAACCCCCCCCTGCACCTTGGGTCCAGGGCATCTGGCTTTCTCTGCCCAGCCAGCCATGAGGCCACAGTTCTGTGGGGTCCCGGATGCCCTCCCCCACCCCATCCAGGCCTGCCTTGATCAGCAGAATAAGAACAAACATACCCTTCACATTTCTTTTTGGTGGCAGCCAGAGCACCACAATAGAATTCAGGAAAGCTGTTTCTGCCAGGCTTCCTGTGGCGTTTGGCAGGCCACACCTCTCTAGCCTCAGTTTCCCCATTTATAAATGTTTCAGTCCCATACACATTGGATGATTGTACTTCAAAGACATTTTTCAGACACTACTAGACTATGTATAAACACTGTGAGGACAGGGAGGGCATGTCTTAATCATCTGTATGTTCACAGCAGGAGCTCAAAAATGTTTATTAGATGGGCAAATGCGTTTGGAAGAGAAGACTAGCATAGCACACACAGTACACTGGAAGTCAAGGGAGTTTTAGGGAGAGGTAGAGGACAAAAGATGGTTGCATTTATAGATTACAGTTATCCCTCACTTAACATCATTGACAGGTTCTGCAATTTTAAAAAATATATATTTTTATTGATTTCAGAGAGGAAGGGAGAGGGGTAGAGAGATAGAAACATCAATGATGAGAGAGAATCATTGATTGGCTGCCTCCTGCACTCCCCCTTCTGGGGATGGAGCCCACAACCTGGGCATGTGCCCTTCACTGGAATCGAACCCAGGACCCTTCAGTCCACAGGCCAATGCTCTATCCACTGAGCCAAACTGGCTAGGGCAGGTTCTGCAACTTTAAGCGAAGCAACATATAACAAAACCAATTTTACCACAGGCTAATTGATATATTAATAAGAATTAAGTTCCTAGAGCAGCTCATCAACGTTATAACAAAATAGCATTGAATGAGGAGTTATTTCAAGACCTGCTGTACAAGGGCCTATGGCCTGTGAGAAGAATAATTTTAGCACAGGAAGGAAAGTGGGTTGAAAATTGAGGGCAGTGAGTATAGATGCCTCTCGACTAACACAGGCACAGGAGAGAGCTTTGATGGATGCTTTGTGAGGCTGTAGGAGACATGCCTGAAGGAGTTTGTGCTCTGAGAGAGGGAACCGTGGGGAAGGAGGATAGTCCTTAAAAGCAAGGGGCATGTCTTGGCAGCAAGAGAGAGCACCCAGATCACAGCTGGAGAAGCCCCTGTCTTCATGGGGGGAAAGGGCAGGGAAGAAGGGGGTGAGGGCACAGTAGACCTAGAAGGTTAGGGAGCACCCCGGGTGTTGACCCCAGAACAGAGGAGTAGGGGGTCTTCTTTCAGGGTGAGAGGGACTGGGGTCTCCCAAGAGAGAAGAGGGCAAGGGAGCCACTGCCAAGGGGACCTCCTACTGGGCTCACTTCTCACCTTCCCACTGGGGTCATGGCTGGGCCTCCCAGTCCCCTTGAGATTTGAAATGACCAGTCTCCTAAGCCACATGGGGACCCCAGTGCACTTAGTGGTGGGGGGCTCGCCAGAGTCATACGGGGCATCAGCGCACCTCCTGACTCCCTGCCCCGGCTTTGCCTCTGTCCCCACAACAGGTTCCCCTTCTACTTTGAGCTCAAGATCGCCTTTGTGATATGGCTGCTGTCCCCTTATACCAAGGGCTCCAGCGTGCTCTACCGCAAGTTCGTGCACCCGACACTGTCCAACAAGGAGAAGGTTTGCTCCCACTCTGCTTCCCCGCCCGCCACAGGCCAAGGCAGCCCTGTGCCTGCAGCCACGTACATTCCTGGCCCTCCCAGGGCCTGAAGTGACCTGGCAGGGCCCTGGCCTTCTGCAGCAGGCGGTGCCTTGCCCAGGTGTGAACGAGAGCAGGGCAGGCCCTGGCCAAGGGGGCCAGTCCTCACCTCTTCCTCGCTCCCCTCTGACCCCTCAAGGAGATCGACGAGTACATCACTCAGGCCCGAGACAAGAGCTATGAGACCATGATGAGGGTGGGCAAGAGGGGCCTGAACCTGGCCGCCAATGCTGCGGTCACAGCTGCTGCCAAGGTGAGATGGGGGCAGACCCAAGCTCCTGGGGCCCCACCTGTTCATCTCGTCCCCCTGGTTAGGTCCTGCCTCCACGCTGTCCTCAGGGCTGGGAAGGTTTGGGGCTTGTGCAGCTGGGGTGCCAGTCCTAGGTCTCCCACACTCCAGCCAAGTGACTTCCGCTCCCCGAGCCAGTTTCCTCATCTGCCCAAAGGGAAAGGGTGGCCCCAGCCTGTCAGTGCCACCTTAGGACTGGATGGGGACAGCGTGGGGAAGGCACTGAGCCCAATGGCTTCCCAGTGCCCCTTGGTGACCACTCTCTCCACCCCGCCCCTTCCTCCGGTTCTCCCGGTGCGTGGTGGCGACCCTAGGGCCAGGGGGTGCTGTCAGAGAAGCTCCGAAGCTTCAGCATGCAGGACCTGACCCTGATCCGGGACGAGGACTCCCTGCCCCTGCACGGGCCTGAAGGCCACCTCCGGCCCGGCCCCGGCAGCCTCCTGGACACCATTGAGGACCTAGGTATAGGCTGGACAGCCGGGCATGAGGGCACGGAGGTGACCCGGTGGGAGAGACACCGGGACCCCTGTTCTCCTTTTCTCCTCACCACCAGGAGACGACCCTGCCCTGAGTTTAAGGTCTAGCACGAACCAGGCAGATTCCCGGACAGAAACCTCTGAGGATGATGGGGGAGACAAGGCCCCTAAGAGGCTCAAACCCATCAAAAAAGTGCCCAAAACCGAGGTGAGAGCCCAGAAGTGGGGGAGACGGGGAGGGGTTGTGTCTCCAGGCTGAGCGTTCTCTGTCTTCCTCCCTCCTCCCCACAGCCACTGGCTTCCAAGACGGTGAAGACCCGGCCCAAGAAGAAGACCTCTGGCGGGGGTGACTCGGCTTGAGGTTTCGACCCCTCAGGCCACAGAGCCCTGCTCCACACTGTGCCCGCCCGTGTGTCTCAGGCCCAGGGCCGTCAGACGGCTGTTTCTGGTGCCTGCCCAGAGGCCACTTGTTTGGACGGGCTTGGAAAAGAGGAGGGAGGTCCTGTTGGGGGGGGTGGGGTTTGAAGGTAGAGGCTGGGCCTGGAGCTGAGGGCTGAGCCACCCAAGGAGTTGGGGGCTCCTCAGAACCTGAACTGCCATTGTCCCCACTCCAGCTCTGTGTGCCCACCCAGTGCCTTGCTGAAAGCCATGGCCATCAGCTTCTCTGCGGTCCTACTGTGCACCTGCTGCTCTCCCTGGGTCGGGGACAGTCATAGCCCCCATGGACCAGAGCCGGGCCTGCAGGCACCTGGGGAGGGCGGGAGTGGGGAAGCCTCGGGGAACCTGGGCAGGGGCTCCAGGCCACGGCCCTGAAGGGAGGACAGGGCCTTAGTGTGTGTTTAAGCGACGGGACGGCCAGGCTGGAGCTGGAGCTGGGGCATTGGATGAACTGTGTGCTACGTGTCCCCACTGAACAGAGGTGGGGTTCCAGGGGTGTGCGTATGAGCGTGTGTGTGTTTCTGGGTCTAGGGCTGTGGGTATTTGGGGTAAAGGACTTTCCCTCCAGCAGTGACCTCCTCCCGCCCTCAGCCCTCCTTCCTAGTCTCTGAGCCTCAGAGGACTACAGCCCATGAGGTAATGGGGCTGCGAGGAGCCGCTCACCTCCTTCTCTGCCCTCAGTTCTTTTTTGCCTCTTCCCTTTCCTGCCCCTGGACTGGGCTCCTCTACGCCTCAGGGCCCACAGTAGAGGCCCCTGGGGAGCCAGCTCCTTTGCTCCACACCCAGAGGCCCATCCTCCTTTCTCCCAGGGTCCTCTTCCTGTGCCCAGCAGACTAGGCCCCATGTGAGCAGACCCTGTCAGAGCCCAGCCTGTGCTCCACACCCTGCCCCAGCTTCTGCCGCCATTTCAGTCAGAGCCAGGAGGAATATGGGAAGAAGAAAAAGAAATTCAGGAGCCAAGGGTCTCCCAGTTTGGTGGAGAGTGGATGCTCATTGGACCTCTGGCACTGGATGAGCCAATAAACCAAACTCTGGCACTTGACTAATTTCAGCCTCTGTGCTTGTTCTCGCCCCACCCAGTCCCGGGGGGAAGGACCTGAAGTGGGACTCAGGACCCAGCCGTGGGAGGGAGTGGGACTCAGGACCCAGCCGTGGGAGGGAGTGGGACTCAGGACCAGAATGTGAGCATCAAGAGTTCCGGGGAAATGGTTTTGGGTTCAAGATAGAGTCAGGGGACCAAGAGGGGTCAGGAATTAAGAACAGTTAGGGGCCTCAACCCTCTAGAGTAGCGGTTCTCAACCTGTGGGTCGCGATCCCTTTGGCGGTGAACGACCCTTTCACAGGGGTCGCCTAAGGCCATCCTGCATATCAGATATTTACATTACGATTGATAACAGTAGCAACATTACAGTTATGAAGTAGCAACGAAAATAATTTTATGGTTGGGTCACCACATGAGGAACTGTATTTAAAGGGCCAGAAGGTTGAGAACCACTGCTCTAGGGCCTCCTGCCCTGAGACCCCTCCCCACATGGACTTTCTGGTACCTCATGAGAAGTGCCAGGTGTAAACTCTGGGGACAAAGACCCCAATGAGGCCTCCCAGGCAGGACAGGAGGGTTGGATGGCCGCAGTGCCTACAAAGGCTAAGAAATGTTGGAGGGGGAATGTGAGACTGAAAGGAGGAGACAGGTGGGTGGAAGAAAGAGGTGGAGATAGGAACCAGTCCCAAGGCCCATGTCTGACCCTGGGAACAGACAAGGAGACAGGTACCCAAGGACTGGAGCCAAAGAAGCCGTCCATGTGGCCCCAGAAGCGAGGGATTGAGCCCTGAGCTGCTGGGCTAGGTGGGAGGACAGGGGGAGACGGCGGGACATGGGATCTGAGCCCTTGGGAAGAAGATCCAGGGGCCAAGGGACCCAACTGGCTGAGATGAGACCCTGGAAGGCAGGACTCGAGGGAACGGAAAAGACGGCAGAGGAGCAGAAGCAGCATCAGAAGATATAAAAGAAAAGAATGGAGAGGGAAGGATGAGGGAGGGAGAAAGGAGCAGAGAAAGAACGGCTCAGCCTCATGGGAGGAAAATGGAGGAAGCAGAGCACGGTCTGGGGTAGGGAGTGCGGGGACCTAGCCCCAGCCTCTGGCTCCAAGATTGGCAAGGTGCCCCTACACCAGGCTTTTCTCTTCCTCCCTGGCACCATAGGGTATGACCTCCAGCCGCACTTGAGCCACGCTGGCCACGAAGGGCCAGACTGAGGCTGCGGGGAGGGGAGGTGTGGGATGCCTTTTCCAGTCCACAGCCGCCTCAAGGTCACTCCTTTCACCACTGGCCTCTGAGCAAATGGGCCCCTTTCCATGTCAGAAGGGAGAGGAAGGGTTAGGGCAGAATTCAGGGGAGGGACTCCCTTGTTCTAGAAAGATCTCCAGAGAGCAAGATGTTAAAGTCTCATGTTAGCAGCTACCATAAGGCCAGGAAACCAGGCTAGGCCCCCTCTAACCTAAATTCTATTTGCTGCATTACACACACACACACAGGCACACACTTGCACCCACAGTGACCAGTAGCTAAGGACCTCACTGCCCAGACTCAGCATTGCCAGGCTCTCCATGCACATCTGGGTTTCCCTGTGTCAACAGAGACATGCTCAGATTTCTAAGCTCATTGGTCTGTTGCCATGGAGACAATCATCTCCTAGAACTTGGCACAAGGCCTGGCCACTGTAGTGCAGGGGAGGAGAAGAGAGATGGAGAGTGACAAAAAATGAGTGGGAAGTCTCCTGGCAGCAGGCTGGTGAGCCCTTGCTACCTCATTCCCTGGGACCACCTGCCCTCTCCCCTAGTAGGTCCCTCTAGGCCAGGAGAGTAGGGCAGAGAAGTCACACCGAGGTGTGTGGCTAGAGCTATGTGGAGGGTGCCAATCACGGCCTGGGTCCCCAGTGGGCGTTGAGGGATCATTAGTTCTGAAGTGGGGGCTGAGGTCTAGCCCTGTGTCCCACAGCCACACCACCTTGGGGACACTGGGCAGCCCTCTAAGCCTCAAGTTTCTGGCTGGAATGGCCACAGGCCTGGAGCCTCTTCAGCCGGCTCCCCCTCCCTTTCCTCTGTGAGCCCCACCTGGAGAAGCTGCTTAAAATGGGATTTCCAGGCCGTGACGCCAGAGGAAAGCCAGCAGCTCCAGCCTGTGCCAGCTCTTCTTCAGCAGCAGAGCTGAGCCCAGCCTTGCTCAGCCTGGATGAACGAGGGGAAGGCAGAGGAGGCAGAGGAGGCAGGGGCTCTGGGCCATGATGCCCATAGCTGTGGCATCCAGGATACCATGGAGTTTCCAGGCCAAAATTCACTGCTGGCTTCTCCACTGCCTTACATTTCAACCAGTACATGACCATCTTCCTCCTAAATTCCCGATTTTTCCTCTCTGAGCTGCAGCAGGCCTGCCTGGAGGAAGAGGGCAACCTTGAGTCAGAGCCATTTGGGTTTTGCCTGAGAGTTTGTCGGGCTGTATCTAGGCTGGAGGCTGCAATGCTTGGCAGGGATGCCTGCAAGAAGGAAAAAGCCCACTAGGTGGCGCAGCTCCCACCCAATATGGGTTTCCCGGGCCTCTGCTGGGGACAATCTTCCCTGCAGCCCGTCTGCTTAAAATATGGTGAGCAGGGTGCCTCATGCCTCACTCCCTGGTGTTGGAGGTTCATGAATAAAGCATTCTTGCCGGTAGACAGGTCAGCTATGGATTCTCAAGCAATCGCTTCATAAGCTCAGCCTGTGTGCACACCTGGTCCTACTCCAGGAGGTCAGACTAGAGAGCAGGTGTTCCCTTCGGGTGAGAATCAGGCAGCTCCAGAGAGCAGGGAAATGGCAAGCCTGACCCTGGAAGGGCCTTGCAGCAGAAAGGACCCAACCTGGGCTTCTGAAATGGCGTCTGGAGAGGCTGCTGGAGCTGATTCAGGGTCAGGTGGAGAGAAGGGCCCAAGCAGTGGCAAGGGTTAGGGAACCTGGGAGGGGCAGATTGGGCCCAGAGGAAAGGAAGCTCATCTAGCCGCAGGATCCCATGGCTGTGATCTCCCTGATGGCCACAGTGGTGGTCCCAGGCCTGCCCCAGGTTTCCCCATCTGCTGTCCCTTCATTTATTTTATTTTTAAAAAAAAATATTTTTTTATTATTATTGATTTCAGAGAGGAAGAGAGAGGGAGAGAGAGAGAGATGAAACATCAATGATGAGAGAGATCAGCTGCCTTCTGCACATCCCACTGGGGATCAAGCCTGCAACCTGGGCACATGCCCTGACTGGGAAGCGAACCATGATCTCCTGATTCATAGGTCGAGGTTCAACTACTGAGCCACGCTGGCCAGGCCCCCTTCATTTATGTTCCTCGGGGGTGTCATGGGTTAAAAAAAGGAGACAAAGCCTGACCGGTTTGGCTCAGTGGATAGAGCGTCGGCCTGCGGACTGAAGGGTCCCAGGTTCGATTCCGGTCAAGGGCATGTACCTGGGTTGCGGGCACATCCCCAGTAGGGGGCGTGCAAGAGGCAGCTGAATCGATGTTTCTCTCTCATCCATGTTTCTAACTCTGTATCCCTCTCCCTTCCTCTCTGTAAAAAATCAATAAAATATATTTTTTTAAAAAAAAAGGAGACAAAGACCTTAATCTCCAAATCCTTGAATCCCAAGGTATTTTTGCAGGAGCCCAGGCTGAGGATTCTCCTTGATCTACCTTACCCTGACCTCTTTCCCAAACTGACCCACCAGCCCTGCATCCCTAATGAATTACCCTCTCCTTTTGTCCCAGCCAGATGAGTGATCAATAAATAATGCTGCCTGAAATATTGATGGCGAGTTTTACACCAGGATCCCTTAGCTGTGCCTGTCACTGGGGAACTGGAGAGCTGACAGAGAGATGTATGGCCCCCAGAGAGCTCTTCCCTGTCTCTGCCAACAGAAGGTCTTTCTTTGCCAAGATTTCAACCTGCTCCCATCTCAGCCAGAATCATGATTCACTCTTATCAAGTAAGAAGAGGAAAGATCCCCAGACACTGACTCAGCTAGCCCCCAGGAAGGATGGGGTAAGCTAAACCAAGCAGAGGCCCTTCTTGAAACCCGTGCCTCCTGTGATGCGATTGAGATCCCATTTCCTCTGTTCTATGTCCATCTTGGACCTGCCAGGCCCAGCTTTCTCAGTGAGTCGAAAGGAGACCTGTAACTTCCCCGCCCCCACCTAAACTAGTTAGAGCCAGAGCAGAAGGGACCAAGCGAGCGCTCCCAGACTTCTCTGGCCCAGGTCCCTCTCATCTGGTTTTGTTTTCCCTGGAGGGAGGGAAGGAGAGAGGAGGAGGAGGTGGTGGGCGCTTTTGAGCCCTCCTGAGCCCAAGTCACCCAGCGCCAGCACCCTTTGCAGAAGCCTGGCCCTCTCAAACCTTTGCATGTGCAGTGCCTTCTGCCAAAGCACTCTTGTTCTCCTGTTTCAACTTGACCAACTCCTTCCTGCGTGCACCTCAAGTCTCAGCTTAAATGGGACTCCCCAACCCCACTCCCTCCGGGCCCCTGTAGCATCTGCTCTTCCTCCCCGACAGCACGCATCACCCTGTTTCCCCACCACACTGAAAGCCATGTTGCAGGCAATGGGTCTACCTGGTTTCCCACTATTTTCCCAGCATCTAGTACGGGGCCTAGCACACAGTCAGCACTGGGCACATTTGTGTGGAATGTCTGAATGGCGCCCCTGCAGCACTGCTGGGAAAACACCAGCCTTCAAACCTCAGCATCCCTGTGCTGAGTTGTCGGCCTGCACCTGAGGATGCTGCCCAGATCAGCCCCTCCCTCTGGTTGCCCCGTTGTGCTCAGGCTCACTTGCTCTCCTTTTCTCTCTCTCACACACACAGATGGGAGTCAGCTTTCCAGCCGCATTCAGTTCTCACTTCAATTCAAAAGCTAAATTGGGAGGAAGAGCAGCTTCACACTCCCAATTTAGCCTGGGAGAGAAAAAGGGAGACAGCCTGGATGTTGCCAGGGAAAGGAGAAAGTTGGGTTTGGGGCAGGGAGTGATGGCAAACA